ACTTGAAGTTTTGTCCGCAGACTAAATGAATCGCCCGATCATCGCCCACCCATCGTCCGAGAATTTGAATATACACTGTCATATCATCATTGAGATTAAGCGCCGACTAGGCAGTACAAGCGAAACTATCAAGACTGATGTTATATTCTGGCTCTGTCTGCTGGTTAACAAGAAACATCTGAATTGCGGAGCCATAGCCAACCGCAGTCTTCCTTACGGCGCAGAGGAATGAAACCTCACAGTGCAAATGCGAGTGAGGCACATTTTCATAACTAAGATATAATAACAGCAGTAGTACAGACTAGATAAAACTCATTAGTATAAATGAAGAGGGGTTCGGTTCAATAACTCTTACCGTCAATCACGAGATAGGGATAGAATTACTGTATGACAGTCAGAAACTGCCCACCGCGCAAAGTGGCCAACTACCCAGGACACCTTGACTTTTTCGAGACAACTCTGGAGGTTTGTTGAGTACAGTTTGGCCGGAAATTCGGAATACATCGAGAAGGGATCAATAGGACAATTATGGGGATCCAGCGGGAGATGTCACTGTACAGCGAACATCATTTCTCCTGTCAGCGTACCATAAATATATGTGATATTAGCAGGGACAAGGGTCAACGATCTATCTCTGCCGGGATAGAAAAAAACCTGGCTGTTTCCCAAGTGCGTAGATGCCCTGCTGTAGATAATACCATCATACTTGAGTGAGGCCTGTAATACTGCTTTTCGTCGTCTGATAAGAGTAAAGAGATCCTCAGGCACCGCACTGGTTATTGCTGAGTTGGGCGCCAGGACAACATCATCCATAGGATCTTCAGGAAGGGGATCTGTAGCACCATTTGGGGCATATACTCTGTCGAACAGGATCCTGCACTCTTGGATAGCAGGCGGACAGTCTGGTCGAGCGAGCCAACAGCGAAATTTAGTGGCCTTGATGTATGAACGAAGCATTGTGTTCTCAAGTTCCCCTGACAAGATATTAGTCTACTTTACTCGTTCCATACAATGAGGACCAACCAAATTTGTGGTTTACGGGAAGGCATTGGAGTATTCCAATCAGATGCTCGAAAGGAAAACTCCACCATGAGTGGGCGGGCCCAAATAAAAGTAGATAGTCATACAAGTGGAAAGACGCATGGTGATTTGGGCGGAGAGACGAGGTGGGATGGATCTGCTTCAACTTTCCGACATAACCAGAGATATACGAGCGATAGGCTGTTGCTCTTCTTGCAGTCATTGTCCGTCCGCATGCAAGATACACTGCAGAGACTAGTTCCATAGTGTGATCAAGAACAACTCTGAGGCGGACATCGAGTTCATCAGAGTGCGAAGTACCTGCTCCCCACAAGCTCACAAGGGCAATAGGAAGATAGACCATAATAAGTGATCGCCATTCATCAGCTTTAAGCGTCCCAGCAGATGCCTCTCCAAAATTACTGGGGACTGAACCAAGCCAAGTGGGGACAGATGTATCTCGAATAACGTCGCGAATGCGTCCAAGTACCTCTGCTGTCCCAAACTGAGGTTCATCCTGAGGAGCAGTTAGAGGCTTTCCACAACGCTTTGAATAAGCGTTAACGACGGTAAACATGATGATGATAACAAAGAACTTACCCAGTCGAGGAGAACATTCACATAATCTATCTTGAACGTTCTACCAACTTTCTTTGGCATGCAGCCCAAGGTATTGCAGACGAACTTCAACAATTGCGTATTCTTGTGTGACAGGGAGTCTTTCAGCTTGTCAAAACAAGTGTCTTGATCAGAAATAGTTATTTGAGAAACAAGGAGGGCTTGGATCACAGATATCTGCGTCATTTCCTTCGGCGTCATCGTCCTGGGAGGCACTTCGCCAAAATCATACGAAAATGCAGTAAGGGTAGAAGCCGATATGGTTGACTTCGATGTCAAACCAAGTAGATTACGAGTATGGTAAGGTACCAAGCCTTCCAATAGGCAGTGCATCAGATCAATAACAAGTTGTCGCGAAGGGTCCCAGTATGGTAGATGCCAAAGCTCGGAATAACGCACGCCATGAGCTTTGAACAGCGCTTCACGTTCTGCAGAGGTGGCAGCGTCTCTCCACTGCTCTGCATATGCTCGGAGTTTGTCTTTATCGCGAGGTTTCCAGTTCTCGAAGTCGACTCTTCCATATGTAGACTTGTGGTAGCAATCGCATGCACTACAGTAAAAATGACTACTGACTCCAGCCAGAGAAGCGACATGTTGAGCAGCAGGAAGGTCACAAACAACCAGGGCAATGGCGCTTCGAGTAACGCGACCGTCAGGGTAACAGGCGGTTTTGGAGAATTTGATACCACGCTCCCATGAGTCTGCCAAGTCGTTAATGAGTGGTCGGATGTAGTGGTTAAGATTTTCTAGTGATGGCTGCTTTGGACCCGGGATGATGCCCGCAACATACATATTCTCTGGCTTGTACCTAATATCCCCCGGTAGATTCAAGCACGCCATGGAGATGATTCCACAGGATGTGCTAGCTCCGCGTATATTCAGTCCTTCAGGATTGAAAAAGTCCACAAAAAGGGCGAAGGCATAACGCCCTTCCTCTCCTCTGTCGACAAACAGCAAGCCTGGCTCTGGGCCACTGAACTGGCGGAGGAATTGAGATTCAAACGGATTTTTGACAAAGGGCGGATGAGGAGAGTCGATGGAGTCCACGAGATCATCACACGCCTGATCCATCACAGCCTCGATGTCTCTACGCGAGAGGAGACCAGCAAGGTAATCTTTGAAGTCATAGTACAAGAAAGTCCTCTTGGGACTGGATTCTGCATCAGCACCGACAAGTAAATCCTCGCCACATTCAGTCTCGGGAGTAGGATGATGCGTGCAACTTTTAGGATATATTGGGGTGATCGAGCCTGGGGCATAAATCGGCGCGTAGGTACAATGGCAGCTGCAGACAGCATATGGGACAGTTTTCCCGGTAAGGTGGAATTTTGCCTCTGCACTTTCCGATGTTATTGGGATCTGCTTGAGGATGTTTTCATGGGAGGAGCTAAGACTGCCATCCGACTTCCGGAATGCAAGAAACAGTGTGATGGAAATAATCTTCATAATCAGATCGCAGCCACTCCTGCTCACACCCATGACAACTCTACATGCGACGCAAAGGAATAGCACGACTTGGCTGATTTCGTCTGAGCGATCCACTGGAACCTGGAGGGCGTCTGCTGTACGATAAGCAAAGAAGCTATGATCCACATGCTCGTTACTTACCGGTATTAATCTCGATGGGTACCAGCACATCGTCAGATGGCTTATGCCTGCTGAACTGGGCGGCCAAGTCATCAATCTGTGTGATGACTGCTTGCTTTCGCACCATTACGACTTTTGTCTGTCGACTGACACTTTCCACAGCTCTGCGAAGCAAAGATAGCTCACGGCCAACGTCATTGAGGTTACCAGGATCCAGTAGCAAGTGAAAGCCCCGCTGAACCTGGGACTCGATGTTGTTGAGGGCATCCAACACCCTCATGGCTCGCTGATCATGTTTCTTGTTGGATGCTTGCTCGCCGCCAGTACCCTTGTGGCTTGTCTTCAATGGTGATAAAGTCAACCGTTCAAGTTCATCCGCTAGAACACAAACAGAGGAGGGAGCGATAGAGGAGGGAGCGACACTGCTGTCAATGATGGTGCATGCGGGAGAATTGGAGGTGACAGCAGCGGGCTCAGCATGTTCTGCCTTCACACGCCGAACATGAGCAGCGATCAAGCGGTCTGCCATCAAAACTCCTTTTGGTGCGCCTGTTTTGTCCCATCCGCCCTTGATAATACACTCCTGACACATGCATCGTGTGAGCGATGGACGGGACACAGGCATATAGGTGAATCACGCTGACGACAGTATGTACCGTCGTCTATGGGTGATGGTCCAAGTACGCCTAGCAGAGTGAAGACCGGCTGTGCTGACCGTTTAAATAAAAGAACAAGGGCAAAGTGGGGGCAACTCACAACAACAAGGCGACAAAGTACAGCGTGCCTACGACAGTATGTACCGTCGTCTATGGTGATGGTCCAAGTAAGCCTAACGACAGTATGTACTGTCGTCTGTGATGGTCCAAGTGCAGAGTGAAGACCAGCTATCCTGACCGTTTAAATACGATAAAGAACAAGGGCGAAGTACTCACAACAACTTAGAACAAGGCGACGAAGTACAATGTGCCCACCTACATGGGCGCTGATCCAAATGCGGACATGACAGTACATACTGTCTTGCCAATCGATGAGGCCAATGGAGTCGTTGTGACGAGGTCGAAGTGGAACAGAGGCGAGACGACATGACAGTACATACTATCGTGAAGTCTGAATGGATAAAGGAGGAAGTACATACTCGATGCCAGAACAATAAACACAACACAACACTGTGACTAAAACTTATGTAATCAACACGTTCAAATGTTCAACGTTCAACTCTGTCCTTTTCACCTGCTCAACTCTGAATGCTCGGTAGTATGTACTGTCGAGTCTGAGTCAAGTCTTAGTCTTAGACCCACCCCTCACTACCCCAGCGGTCTGTACTGCGGGAGGTTTCCGGTTATTATCCTCTCCCGACTATATGTGGTTCATCTAAAATCCCGGTCAACACAATCATTAAGGGCAACGACAAGCAGCCCCTTTCAGGCGCCCAGTCATCCATCCTTCGGTTTATCCCGCTCACAAATACTCTGGATGTATTCACACTCATATGCTTCCTTTTATATTTGCTTATCTTTTTTTTTTTTTTTTTTGCTTTTTCCGCGAACATTGTCCCACTCACCATGCGTAAAACCTGTCAGATTTTCCTCGTATCTAGGATCAGTCTTATCGGGATGTGGGCTTTTGTAGTACTCAAAGACTTGACCAAACTAGTACATTAACCCCTTTGTGACGACTTGAGTTATCTTGCGTCACAGTTAGTCACTCGTTTGTGATCAGTCTATATATATATATGATAATATACTGGACGTTTCTGCTTCTTCCGCTTCTTCCTTATGCCCCACTATCGGTCAGTCGACAGCGGGTTAAAACTGGCATCACTGCCAGTAGGCCCCTCTACGAATTATGCCGACGTCTCCTCTATGGACAAACTGACAACTTCTGAACTCAATCGCTTGATCACCCACGAATCACAGAACAAAACTGATGGCAACGATATAGGGCATTTGTTGCCCTTTATCTTCAAGTCCTTTGAAACTCCTTTACCCACTGCAGATACCCTCAGACATACAGACACATCACTACTCTACGACCCTACCATATCTGCATGGCCTTTAGCCCTTCCTGTGGAAGGCCAGAGCATCGAGCAGACATTCCCTTTGTTCCTTAACTCCCTCAACAAAGCACTTGCCAAATCCTTCTCGTCAGGCACTGGACACACTCTCCCTCCACTATGGTATGGTTCGCACACTACCAAGCCTATTGGAGATGACGCTGTTCAGCACAAACCCGATCTCTGCTTATCAAACGAGGTGGAGCTGCAATGGAGCAACATACTTGTAGTTGCTGAGCTGACCTCCAGCCAATATTCTCCTGCGGAGCGTGCCGGGAAGACGCTTGATACGAAAGCATGGCTCATCTTCAGAGAACAGCTGTGGCGGTGCTTCGTGCTCTGTCTCTCCTTCTGCAATGAGTATCGTGAACTTCGCGTACACGTATATGACCACTCAGGCGGGATTGTGACCCAACCGGTCAATATACATCAAGAACCTGATAAATTCAGGTACATCATGGCGTGCATCGTTTACGGCACTCGTGACTGCATAGGATTCGATTCCACAATGTCCATCAACCCAACGCAATCTAGGTCTGCAGCACTGTGGGACCGGAATGTGAAGAATCTTTCACGACGAAAGAAAACAGTCAAAAACCGCTCTGACTCCCACGTGCAACTCGAACCACACTCTATGGACCCGTACATTAAATATCTCTCACCCTCCTCCGCTACCGAACCACCGCAGACCGAAACTGAGTCACCATTACCCTCCTCGTCACCTAACAACAACGTGATAGGAAAGATGAAAGTCAATGAACACGAATATGACTTATTGAGGGTCCTCTTCTCCGGTCAAGGACTTGTGGGTCGCGGAACTGTGTGTTACCTGGCTAGGAGGGATGGTGAAGAGTATATCATCAAGGATCACTGGGTGAAGAGCTATGGTGAACGCACGCAAGAAAGTATGGATATTGTCATGAACGAAGTGGATATGCTAGAAGCGATGAAGAATGTCCCAGGTGTTCCCAAGCTTGTGGAGTTCTGGCTTGTAAAGGTAACGCCGAATCAGCCTGACGATACGCAAATATATCGCCAGAAAATACACAACAGTACAATGGGGATGTATTGCACACACGTCCATCTCATCCTGAAACCCAAGGCGCGTCGTTTACAAGAGTTTCGAAGCAGGAAGGAACTCGTTCGGACATTACGTGACATTGCACTGAGTGAGTTTACTATGGAGCGCGCGCGATCTTGGACTAATCCCTGTTATAACCAGTTCAGAGGTGTGCATACGAAGAACACCATATTTTGCACAGAGACTGTAGTCTGAACAATGCCATGATAGAAGACATTGAAGGTGGCGGCAGTCGAGGGGTGTTAATAGATTGGGAATTTGCGGTGCGCATCACGAAGGACAATAAGTATCCCACCGGAGGAACAGTAAGTGACATGCACTTATTCAATATTCGGATATTGACATACATGTCAGGGCACGATTCCCTTCATGTCAATTCTTGCCCTGAGCAAGGTAGCCCAGATTCAATACACGCAAAGTCAGACGGAAGGAACTCAACTTAAGACGGCCTCGAGCTCCAAACCCATTCAAATAGGAACAGTCGAACACACCTACCTTGATGACCTCGAATCCCTGTTCTACGTCTTCGCCTGGGTCTGCATCATGTTTAAAGGACCTGCTGGTGCAGTGCGCCACCTCAATGAGGTTGCAGATCACCCTGGCGGAAAAGTGACACCTTGGTTGCCGCATGAATGGAATGGCTCGCCTTTAGATGCAAATGCATGCGCCTACAAAAAGTTCTTCTTTGTCCAACACACGACGGGGAAAGCACGCTTACATGAACAATTCGCTCCCTATTTCCAGGATCTCGTCACCCTTGCAGAGGAGTGGTATGAACTTGTTAAAAAAGGGGAGACGGACACATACTTCAACGACATAATTGCCTTGCTAAGCAAGCACGTCGATACCCTGGCAGACGATGAAAAGGACCCTCAATTTGTACGAGATCAAATTGAGTTACAGGAGTCGTTGAAGGGACTGACCGATAAATTGAAGCACATTTCAGAGGAGGAGGAAGACGCATAGGACCTTTATCAATATTATTAATGTTATTGTCACCCCTCCATTGTTTCCGTAGAACACAATATCGATACCCGGTTGACTCGAGTTATGACTCAAGTTACGACTCAGTAGTACATACCGCTGAGCCTTGAGAATCTGAGACAGCCCTACACGAAAGGTAGCAGTAGCATTGGATGTGAGTGAAAAGGCATGTACTCAGCAGTACATACCGCTGAGCCTTGCACTGTAGATACTCAGCCAGCGGCGGAACAGGCGGGTTGGGTGTTGACATATGTTTGTTTGTTTGAGTTTAGAGTTTACGTCGGGCGCCCACCTCTAACTTCAATTAGTCCCAGACTCCTACTATCCCTATTCTTTCATCATCTACTTTTAACCGTCCCATCTCTGACATGACGGTATGTACCATCATGTCATTGTGTCGTCCTTTTGTTGCCCGTCCCCACTCCAGCTTCAATTTGAGTTTAGATTTTATGTCGGGCGCCCACTTATAACTTTAATCGGACCTTTCCCTGTTCTTTCGTCGTCTGCCTCCAACCGTCACATCTCTGACATGACGGTATGTACCGTCATGTCGTGTCATTGTGTCGTCCTTTCATTACCCGTCCCCACTGGTCCCATCTCTCCGTGTCGTACTTTGGAAATCGGCCCATCCCATCCCATCCCATCGTTCTTGACTTCAATCAGTTCTTTATTTCGTCCATTTGTATACATAACACCTACACTACACATACACTACAGACATACACTACACTACCGCAACCTGCATCCATTTAAATCTTTTGTCCGAGATCGATAACTTCTCAACTTGACGTTTGTTCAGGCCCATGAGCCATTCTTCTTTATACAAGGATTTAGGCAATCCATCGACCGGTAACCTGGAAGTTGTCGGATTTCCGGCTGCGCGTATCCTTTTCATTGGCTTTGAGCCTTGGGGAGCGAATATGTCATCATCCACAAGTCTCTGGTGGTCAACAATATCCAATTCGCGTTCTATCGCACGGCGCCATACCATGTTTTTGACGCGAAGGACCGTTTCGATATCATTCTCCAAATCGCTCTCCTCTGAACTCATGCTGCATTCTCCCAGCGTCTTCACTAGTTTCTGAAGCCACTGCCACGCTAGGAGATCTTCTTCTTTGTCATCAGTCTTCAGCATGACGAGATGGTCAAGAACTGTCGCTTGATGGAGATATTTCTGAAAAAGTATCAGTGCTAGAACTGTCTGGATACTGCGAGCATACATTTCTGCGACGTGTCGTTTGACGAGTCACCTTCAATATTTCGTCCTTCTTCGCGATTAATCTCACCTCCACCTCTACAGGAGTCTCCAGCACACCCTTTTCCGTGACCTTAGGCTGGGCACCTGTCCAGACTGTACGCAGTCGCCTGTAGCGATCTTGAAGAATTTCCCTGAAATATGCCTCTGACCTGCTGACTGGCCACCTCTCTTCATCGCCCCTTCTCCGTAATTCTCCAAGTAGCAGATCAATGATTTTTCTGTTCCAGGGGGTTTTGAACCCGTTCTTGGTATCAAATGCGAGATTTTTTGGATCAGGACCGGGGCCATCTTCATATTCGTATGAATACACATCCTCACGACTAGCTGCCTCATGAGCTATGAAATCGGCATCTTGAGAAATATTGAAGGCATCTTTGAAGAGACGCCGCACTTCTCCCTACTTCACCGTAAGTGTGGGAGTTTCTATATGATATTGGGCTCACCAGAATGAAGTCTCTCTCGTAGCTTGATTTGCTTGTTCTCTCTCGCCGGATTTCTTCATCCTCCTCCTTCCTCCTCCGGGGACTCCGCTTTTTGATACCCGAAAATTCTTTGTCGACGAGAACACATCTCAGTGCAGCCTCGACACCTCTTGCGATTGCATCCTCCATGCTAACGTTGGCACAAGGCGATGGATTGTGCTGCTCATGCGGTGGTACATCTTCCTCGGATGGATCACGAGGGACTTCCTTGGTGTCCACCTACTGTCGTCAACTTTTATATCATCTGACAGCATCAGGCGCTTACCTCCGCTACTACTGACACAAGGCGAGCCCTGCACAATACTCCGCGAGTTTTCTTTATCCTTCTAATCGCATCAAGGCATAGGGTACCTGACGACGGTTTTGCGGGCGATGCGGATGGCTGTCGTGTGTTTCTCCGCAACGGGGGACTACTATCCATTTCTATATCATCGTCCCATGCCCTATGACGCCTGGCAAATCGTTGTTCCATCCTGGCAAGCTCGCTCTCTTTTTCCGTCTAGAAGTGCATTCAAGCAAATATTAGTATATTACCTGTGAGGTTACGAAACAACATTCTCACTCTCAATTTTTCTACTTCGTGCTGTAGTCTCCTTTCCATCTCGGTCAAGATGGCACTGTCGTGTTTTCGACACTACCTTATCGTCATGAAACACATTTTTTGTGAAGTCGTGGTGTAGCTCACCTCTTCATCTTTCTTTTTCCTCAATTCTTCCTCGCATCTGGCCAGTTCTTCGCAGAGCTCTGCTTCTCGCTGCTTTGAATGTTGTGTAAATCGCTCGTGAGTTTCTTCCAGGATTTTATGCATGCCAGTGTCTATGGCCTTGCGATTCGCCTGGCTGAGTGTTTCACGACTTTCTCTGATGTACTTTTCAAGTTCCTCCTGCTGCTGGACGCAATTCTCTTGCTGCCGAATGTGGTTCTCCTGCCATGCCACCATGCCACTATGTCAATGTGCATCATCTGTCGAACACCACGAAGGAATTACCTCAAGTTCTTTGCGGACCTTTTCCAGTTGCTCTTCCCGCTCTCTTAGAGCTGCCTCCCACCTACTTTTTATATCATCTTGCTACGGCCACTAGTCATATATTGGTGATTGGCAGCGAGATACTATGGACCTTCTGCATCTCGCGCCTCATAGTGTTAATTTGCTCCTCCTGATTGTATACGGTTTCGCGCAGTTTCTCTGAGTAGTCGACTTCTTTAATGCGACGCTTGTATGTTGCCTGTATAGAGACTGAGCTAGCTATTAACTTCTCTGTATCTGGACGTACAATATCGACGACGACCTGCTTTTGTTGTGCATGCAGCCTTTCCCTTTTGTCGATACGACCTGTCCTTGTAGCGGGCTGGCTCGTTGAGGTCCCTTTGAGGTCCATCCGTGTCATCTCCCCGCTTGGAGGTACTGTATTCCCCTGGCTCGTTGAGGTCTCTTCAAGGTCCATCCAGTTCATATCTCCGCTTGGAGGTACTGTATCACGGGGCTGACTTGTGTCATCTTCCATGGTGTCGTCAAATAAGCCTACATCATTGGACGTTTGAACATCTTCCGGAATATGGTGCATCATGGCAATAGCAATAGTGATTTAGGTTTGGACGTAGATAAATTTTATATGCAGCCTTATCGCGCTTTCGGTCCAACAATGGCCGGGTTGGCTTTCAATAAATTTAAGTTCAAAAAGTCACAAGACGACTGAACTAATTGTTTGTCCTGGTTAATCTCCTGGTTAATCTCTGGGTTGTAAAGACAAACAATAACTATCGTGTGCGGTGTGCTCGGTTCAAATGTTGTGCTCGGCTCAATGGTGAACTGATATAAGATCCTACTTTCATCGCCCACTTTCATCGCCCACTTTTATTGCCCACTTCCTCACGTTATTTTAGCGCTGGTCGCCTTATCACTTATTTCTTCATTCTTTTGCTGAAATGGTCAACACTTGCAAGTATATCTTCCCCACGTCATTTGTAAGTCACCTCACCTCACTCCTGGTCCTCGCTGACACTTGTGCAAGACTCCAGAGCTTCATCTGCGGTGTAGACTGTATTCTGCATCAGGGAGTAAACCTCACCAGGCCAATATGTTGACGCGATGCTCCAATCGCTCTCGCAGTGCCCAATGCTTTCCCGTTGTTGAAGGCCTCTTGAATTATGCTGCCGTGCAGCCTTACGTGCATAACTGTTTCGTTACCCTACACGAAGGGAGACACACATATCAGTTTTGTGTTTTCTTCAGGCGACACCGTCATCTGGGAGTCAATCCCCTTCTTAGCAGCGTAGAACACATATTCCAAGGTGACGCAGTTGTGATGAGGATTGGTGTTGGCGGTGACTCTGTTGTGAATATGCGAGGCAGAGATAATGCACTTGCTGACTTCGTCATGCACCAGTGAGTATCAGTATATGCTCATCCCTTGAGCTTCATTGATTTTAGGATCTATCAGATTTACACAATGCATTAAACATCATCTTCGAGCAAGGCTCCCACGTACTCTCACATTTGTGAAGCCCCTAAGTACTCGGGTCAACCGTCGGCTGCTTTTCAGGCTTCATGAGGCGGAGGCGGCAGTTTGATACTTGGAAGTAATTGTATGATGAGTTGTATTAAATTATTAGGTTCGCCCACAAGCAACAAATCATACAATAGGCAATACATACTGTCGGGGATGGTTTACCAATGATCGGTGGACCGTGGGCCATAGTAAACATACGGTCGTGCTGAGAGGTGATAAATAAGTCAAGGGTCTTTCGTTTGGACAAAGAAACCAACCGAGTGAGTTAGGAAAAGAAGGACCTGAGAGATTCCGAGTCGGATGCAACATGTGAGCGCGTGCGACAGTACAAACCGTCACACCAGGAGAAGATGTGCAAAGGCCGACGTACTTGGCGACGATTTAGATAAACAACATTGAGCGCAACAGTACAAACCGTCGCGCCAGGAGAAGATGTGCAAGGTAAACGTTCAAGTTAGACTCACGGTCAAACAACATTAAACTCAAATGTTAACTCAGACACAAACAATTGTAAACACCCGACCCGACTTTGCTCTCAGTCCAAGCTAGTATGCTAGTGTATGTATGTCATTGTCTGTAAAGCTCAGCGGTATGTACTGCTCAGTCGTGACGACACATCCATATCTTTCTACTCAATTCCAACGAAACAAAACACGATATAATGCATTTAATTTCAAGTAACACGTTGTATAGGGTATAGGTTGAATCACATATACTGCAGATGCATTAACTTCGTAAAAAAGACGTGGAATTCGCTTATTTCTTGTTCCTGCTCTTGCCAGCGGCCATCCCCACTTCCATCTTCCTGGCACGTCCCGATGTGTATTTAAGGCGCATCATAATCATGTCATTCACCGGCCAGCAGCGGCTGTAGTTGTCTAGGTCTGGAAAAGCATCAACAGCCTAATAGAGAGCATAGATAGCATTAGGTCGTGGATGGATGGCTGTCATGAAATGTCAACTGACTTTATCGCGCACACATTTCAGGAGCGCAGGGCTTTGGGAGGAAGCACACTTTGTGGTATCGAGATGTTCCTCGATGAGGTGATGCATACATTTCTTAAGGCGTTGGTTCAGCACACGGCATACCCCCTGAGAACATGTCACTAACCTTGAACTTCGTGTATGCCTTTGGGCTCCAGTTTAAAGACTCCTGGAGCGTGTATCCTCCACGCCCTGGACGACCAGGTTCACCAGGGGGCTTAGGTATCTTTGAGTCTTCTGATGGACTGGCGGACGAAGTAGACGAGCCACTATCCGATACTGAATCGATGGAGTCGGAATCTGAAGGTATGGGCGATTGGGAAGGAAAACGCTCAGGTGAGGCTCTCTTCGGGTACGGCGAGGAAAAACAAATGGTATTCTTGGATGGTAGCACTGCAAGTTTAGATACAGGCTTGCCCTCGAGGGCATGAACAATAGGCAGAATAATGGTGCTAGCTTTGGGAGGGAGAATCTCGTTGCAGATGAGTATAGTTGGGTGATGAGTATTTCTAAATAATTCAAGCTGATCCATGAGCATGGGAGGAAACGGTGGTGGAGCACCAGGCTCTTGGTCGTAAAAAGGACAGACAGGTTTTGTTGCGTTAGGCATGACGGTGCTGAGTGTGATGGGGATGATGGGGATGAGGCTGGCGATGTGAGCGGGCACGAACGAAACCTCTAGCGAAATTTATGGGTATGAAATCACTCTGACTGCCGTATTAGGTTGAAACAATAAGCTATTACGGATCAACAAATGCGTTGTCCAGGACAGCGACAACAAAAGACGTAATAGAAAGTACGATGAATTGTAATAGATTGTAATATAAGATGGGCCCTAGGTCGCTCATGAAAAGGCAGAACACAAAAGTCAGGAGGATGATCACCATGGGACCATGAACAAAAGTTTGTTAAAACAAATAGGGACCTAATACAAATAGGCTGTGAGTGAGCTGATGAGCTGGCAGTAACAATCAGATTACGCGCGACAATGTCTTTCTCCCGGTTACTCTTCACAAAATCGACACAACACTTCCAACATCGAGCCTACCTTTCTACCTATGGCGGTTCCATCCATGCACTCGCAATATCTAATGATGGCCAAGCACTTGCATGCGGCAGTAAATCAGTTGCGCTTTAATGTTGGCAGGGTGCTAACAAACAAGTAGGCACGGAGGGTGTTAAACTCTGGGATACTAAATCTCGAAAAGAACTCACATGCTCGACCCATAACCACGAATTGCGGGGCACAGTCAGCTGCACTGTCTGGATCACCACAAGATTAGCAGAAACACTTTGTTATGGAACGGTGTAGAAACAACAATACTGCTAGGAACAAAAGATGCTCCTAACTGTATCTAAAAATGTCGTAGGTCGAGTGTTGCCTAGTCTGCTATGCTTGAGGTGGCAAGCGCGTTCGACCCTTAAGGGAAGTGAGTGCAGCAAAGATCTAGAGGTATGCGCCGAAGCGAAGCGCGAGAAAGCGCAGGTGCGCACAAGGTACGAAGGCGTGGGAACGCGCGCGCGCGTGCGGAAATAATGCAATATAAGAGAAGAGTGAGAGATGTAAAGGAATAGAGTTCTATTGCGACTTTCTAGGTAGTAAGTACTAGGTAAAGTGAGAGGTGAAAGTTCAGTAAAGTAATAGTATGTACTGCTGGCGCTTATATAGCGCGCCTAAGCGCAGTCATGCGGAGCCGAAGCGCTACCGAGTAGGTATGTAAAAATATATATATGTGAGAGTCCATGATAAAAATAAAGATGGAATAATATGCAATGAGAGAAATAGAAATATATGCACTAGAGAACATGGTGGACAGTGGATGGATGCATCTGGATGGCTGGCGCTAAAGGGTGCGCAAGCGCGGGAAAGCGCGCGCGCGTATACATTGCGAAGCGCGGGAAAGCTGCGCCTCATATAGGAATCGCTGTGGACAGTACACAGAGTGGTGCTGCGAGTTGGTGCTGTATACTCCCTAGTGGAAACTGCCATATCACGCCATGAGAGGCATGATTCTCTACAACGGGATTAGGTTACGTGGTGTTTTTGCGGCGTAGCCCCATAGATGTAAGAGAATCTTGATCTCTGTTGGGCCTTCGCCTGACATCAACATCAACAGATGCATTTTCAGGAGACATGTGCTAGAAGACTGGGATCGGGTTTTGAGATCACTTGCTTGTCATGGGATTCGACATCCCCCGAAGCAGGTGCGCGGATTGCAATTGGAACGAGGGACAAAATAGTCCAGGTCCTTGTTCTCAATGCAAATTCGCAACTACAAGCCGTGTTTTCAGTGCGACTAGATAACACGGTACCAAAGTCTGTCGCATTTGCAGACGACGGGAGTGTCTATGCCTTTGGATTGTATGATGGTAACTTTATCAAGTTAAATGGCAATGACGGCACGGTAGTGAAGGAGTATAGCTGTAAATCAGTGATGTCAGTCTACAGTTCACGGCCGATATTCACATCACTAACAATCTCTTAGCGGTGACCTGCACCAAACCGGTTCAGTGCATGGACAACCAATACTCTCTCATGAGTCAAATACCCTGAAATACCACTATGAAACCCTTTTCCCTTTTATCTGAAGTTGGACTGAGGCTAAGGGAATATTTTTTGCTTTTCTTTTTATTTTTTCAAGTTTATATGCCAGCAGCCTGAATATTTTAGTACATTTAATTCTGTGATGAGTTTTGCTTAGTCAGCCATGGTGATGACCCAGACAAAATCCCACACATGTCAGGTGACTGTGAAAAATATTTCCCACATATGTTGTCCTGGAAAAACATTAGTAAACCCCTAAATACTAGGCTCGCGTCATTCTCACCCTTCAAACAAAGCAAAGCAAAGACAGCCACGCACAGGATTCATATCATGTGACACTTCTTACTCTCCTTCTGGATTTGTCATCAGGGGTTGGACAGGTCACATGACTTAGCAAATACCCAATGACTCACTATGACTCCCTCTGAATATATGACTCACTATGACTCACTCTAGATACTTACTATGACTCACTATGACTCACCTTGCACATATGACTCATTATGACTCTTGATGACTCTTGAATACACTAGTAGCACAGCCACATTTATTGTGTATATAATGACCTCAGTTTTTGAAATAAAAAAAGCAGATACCAGCAGGTAGTAGGGTGTTTCTCAGCCCAACTAACACTAAGTTGTGAAGTAAGGTGTGATAAGTGTCAGTACCAGTGTCAAGAACTGTTTCAAGACTGAGAGGAACACTCTCAAGAGACAGTAATACTGCAAGCTCATCATACTGAACGACCCGCTGTGAGCTCACTGTGTGCAACAACCAGCAAGCAAGGTACAGCCACACTTTTATTCTGATTTCTATTATTCTTTTTCTTTTCCTTTTACTTTCACTAACCTTTGGTGTTCTTTGTCCAAAAATACTGATCCAAAATATTCGTGTTGTCTCTACGTCCACCTAAGACTCAGGAGTAGCATAGTGGGGAGACTTTAGGAATTGATAGTGAAGCTTGACCTCACTCATCTGAGTAGCGATACTGAGCCAAGATATTCTGTGCCTGCTAGGCTTTAGCCGTTGAAGAGGGGACTTGGTAGTAAACCCAAGGACGTCCGTTCCTGAGTCTGTTTGAATACTCAAAGAAGAGTTCCTTGACAGCAGGTTCAATATTGAGCTAAGAGTTCTACAATAAAGCATTTGACTAGTCTTGACCTTTGATTCTACCTGTTTTGTGCTGAGGGGGTTTATCATTGTAATTCTGCACCATTTCTTTGGAGTATACTTGGTACGAGGCACTGTTGTTGAAAGGGAACTTGAGGAAGAATCCCATATATTCTTTTGGTCATTGCCATACTGTCGGGCTGACCATTGTTTGTTTGTTTTCCTGTCAAGTCCAAAGATTGGATTGACCATCGTATTACTGATCTTGCAGAAGTATCCTTAGCTGAACATACTTTGGGTAGTATACAACTAGCCACCCACGAACGACCACGTTATCAGTCATTGGTATTTGTCTGAATCGCTGACCGTGGAGGTATTTGTTTTATAGGTGTTTATCTATAGATCATCTATCTAAGAAGACAGCGGTCATGCAGCAGTCCATCAGAAGAGGGGCGTGTTCATAGTGGACAACGCAGCAGACGGTTTTACACTATACCGACTTGACGGCAATGAAGAGCCAGTTCGAACATTCATAACTGCTACTCCGAGTGTGTCAGTACCAAAGCAGGTGGCATTCGGAGCAGAAGGAAGGTTGGTCGTGGGAGGAAGCGACAATGGATCGGTGTATGTGTTCGAAAGGAAATCAGGCAAGCTACTCGACACTCTTCACCACTCTAATGCAGGTCTGGTGCAGACAATCGCTGTAAGTGTTGATTTTTTTTTGGCGGAGGATGAGTTATTGATGATTTGGAAGACCCGTGATCTTGACGGGCGCTGTACAGTTGCAAGCGCATCACCAGCACTAGGTCGCGGTAAGGCTGTAATCAACTTATGGGTCCACAACTACAGCATAGGAAAGGCAACTCTTACCTCTCAAGATTCACGGTCATCATTACATATGCTGAAGCGTATATTTATGCTTTTGATTCACTTCGGCGCCTTGGCGGTCATCATCTGCTTTGTGATAGCCAACTACTCTGTAAGTCGATGCTTAACTCGGCAACAATTAACTGACATACCCATAGGACACGGTGGCGACATGGTCAATAGACCTCGCCCAGCATATGAGCCAGATGCAGATGCAGATGTTAACTTTTTCGGCCAACAATGCTCCCCAAAGTGCGGTATTCAAAGAAGCGCTAGAAACCCAAGAGGAACTGGGAAAAAAGAGCGACATCTTGATGCTACATGAAATAGCGGGAAAGCTGATGGAAGTCATTCGAGAAGCAGAAGCAAAGAGAGACACAGGTGACAATCTTTATCATGCAGCGGAACACGACATCACCCCCAAAGTTAAAAGGGTCTTTCATCAGGCAGTGAAGGTGGGGCAGGATGGCCCCATCAAAGGAATTCGGAGAGGAGAGGACGACATCAGGAGAACTCGAAGACGACAGGATAATTCAGGGAAGGGGTTCATTCTCATTGAGTAAATTGCTAGACATTGCTATCCCGTAAACCCAACGATGACTGAAGAAAATCCCTTGACCGACGAAGTGGCGTATTGGGTGGGGTAACGCGCAAAAATAACGAGAGGTACGCTCTGTCAGGTTTGAGGAAGTTCGCCGCGCTGAATTGGGGGTTGTCGCTGGCACATCAGTAGCATCATGGCAGAGAGAATCTCGGCTCGGCTGTCTGTCTGTCTTTCTGGAGAGTTGAGTATGAAGCTCAGTCTAAATCAGAAGCCACTCACGGCAACATAGCTAGATTAGGTCGCAGAGGGTTTCTCCTGTTAATAAGCACATCAACAGAAGAGCAGAGGGTTTCTCCTGTTAAAAAGCACATCAACAGAAGAGCAGACGGTAGGCTAAGACTCAGCAGTACATACCGCTGAGCTTAGGAGACCGCTGGGTGGTGCAACAAATTGAGTGAGGAGAAGAATACTAGATGGTAGGCTAAGACTCAGCAGTACATACCACTGAGCTTAGGAGACCGCTGGGTGGTGTGACAAGTTGAGCGAGGAGAAGAGTAGACGGTAGAGGTTAAGACTCAGCGGTACATACCGCTGAGCTTAGGACACTTGGAAGTTTGAAGGACCGATTCACTTTGGGCAAGTGAGAATTTGTTTGACTTTGTTTGTTTGACTTTGTTTTCCCCACAAATCCAAGGTCGGTTCTTACCACATCCTGCGTAACGATTTGTACTCTCGTCTTCCTCTCCTCTAGGTCCTGGCGCGACGGTTTGTACTGTCGCGTTCAAGTCTACGTCGCATACTTATCTCCAGGTCCTTCTTGCTTAGCACGACGTATCCTTACTCCCTGCTTCTTCGATTTCTTCCTGGCGCGATGGTTTGTACTGTCGCATTCGAGTCTACACCGCACACATATCTCCAGGTCCTTCTTGCCTAGCACGACGTATCCTTACTCCCTGCTTTTTCGATTTCTGTTAATTTTCCTGCTCATGCAACGCCCTGCTCACTCTCATCCACAACTCCCGTGCTCCTGATGGCCCCTGACCTCCGTGTCTTCATACATGAAGGCCGAACTTTCACATCCTTCGATGCATCTTCGCTTCCTGCTGTGATTCCCCCTATCCCTCGACCCTGGAACCCAGTACTGGAGTCTGATTCATCTTCTGATAATATCAGAGATGCCTTGACTACTCAGTGGGCATACGAAACGCGCCCGTGGTATCCTATTATCCCCCAAAATCCTGTTTTTGACGGTGCCATTTTTGGGTGCCTCAATCACTCATACTACTCTGTGCCCATCGAGATGACACACGACGGTCGCTATATCTTACGCAAGGATGTTAGAGAAGAATGGCAGACTCTGGAGCAGAAGTTAAGTTGGTGTCAGGGACGTCTAGCAACAAACATGCATTTTCCTTGGTACGGCCAACCTCCACGAGCTCCAAGAGATCACGGGTACTTGAGGTCTCATGTCGATATGAACCTAGCAAAGAAGGTTGCTCTGAGGTCACGCGATGCGTTCATAGGTATGGAGCTCCGTCTGTCATGGCGCATTGCGGCTTATGATTGATATTCTCAGGTCTCGCAACTTTCTGCACATACTTCATCATGGCTCGTCGATATAGACCCCACGATGGACCCTCCTCATGGACCTCTCTCCTCACAACAGACCCTCAATGTCCTATACCGTCTGCATGGGTGGTCGAACTTTCTCGCACATTTGTCGGGGATCTGACGGATGCCATACCGCGCACTGGAATGATCATCAATAGTGCCTACGGTCTGAGCTGGGACGCAGATGTAACCATGTATGAACACTTCAAAGTCCCAATCTGGGTATACTGGCCCCCCAATACCGTGCACCATAAGGCCTGGCACAAATATCTACCCTCAACAACAGATATCGCTGCAGCAACAACTCGGAATCCGTGGGGCATTGAGTCAGGATGGGGGACTCAATCTGATGATAACACGTGGGGGGTTCAGTCCGACAATAATCCGTCTAAGGAGTTCTCATGGGGAACTGACCCGTGGGGCACTCAGTCGAACGATCCAGCACCAGTACTCAATGTTCAATCACAGCCCGACCTCTCCCATTTTCCGCTTCCAAAAAAAAATAGTGGTCAGAAGCGTGGTGAAGATTTCAAGGTGTTCTTTGCCCGCCGGGCCATGCGGAACAAGGAGAGGGAGATGAAGGAAACACCCTCTCAACGGCAGGCACGCCTAAGTCGCGAACGTTCAGCGTTGAATCATCACATACCCGGGAGGTCCAGCACAATCCAGGTGTTTGAATGGCAGCCCGACGACGACAACGGTGACGATGGATTCCTATTGCACCATCCCGTCACGAAGGCTGGCGTAGTGGAAATCTGGGGAGATTACAGCAAGGAAACTAGGATCTTTGATCCCTTCTCTAATCAGTGGGACTTGTGTTGCGCCCTCAACCCAACTAGCATCCCTGACGGTGACGACCGGGAAGATGATGACGACATCATGCCTCCCCTCCCTCTAACCGCTCGATCTGAACTTCCACCTCCTACCCCTTCCAGTTTCTTGCAGGATATATACAAATTCTTCGGTAATGAGGTTTCGCTTGCATCGAGACACGCGAGTATTGAAGGACTCGTCCCTGTCTTGCATTACCATTTTGGATATCGACCTATGGCAGCTATCTTACCTCCTCTGAATGGACCCATATCCAAACAGCTGGAAAGATGGATTAAGAAAATGCAATGGGAACATACTCGAAAGCTGGTCGGTGATTTGATAACAGAAATGGGTTCAATCGCAGAGCCGCAACGCCGAAGCATTATGAACTTCATCGCACTTTTGGTAAACTTAAAGCAATCTGACTTGGGCAACCTAATGCTGCCTGATGTATGGGATTTAGGACCCAATCCATCTTTATGGATCTCACATGCCCATATCCGAGTTTCTTACGCCGAGCTGTCACAATGCCGGTTCTTCATAATCAAGCCCTGCCAGTCTTCAAACCATGTTAGTTGGACATTGGCTATTCCTGACCCCATTACCGCTGTGATGTGCCTGCGACGTGACTGGGGTTCAGACTTACAGAAGATCACACTTGCTCTCCTTCAAAGAGGCATGTCATTTAAGACCCTGCAGCGCATGGCTGTCGCGCCCGACTTCCGGCGCCCCCTTGCTGAGCTTCATACCTACACCTTGGGACACCGACCATCTCCCTTCCGTGCGATATACGCGGATTACGTCGTGTACGAGCAGCTACATCACGAGTTTATGAACCGGCCTCGAGCAAGGGCTGCTTTTCTGCATGGGGGACTGATATGGCGGTTGGCATTGCACAGCCTTGGTTTCGACCATCTCCCTTCTGTCCTTGATGGTATCTCGCCCGAAGCTGTCCCATTCGGTCTCCTATTGTGTAGCAATAATCACACGTACTACGATGATGGGCTGTCGGAAGAAGAAATTGATTTTATGTGTGGGACATACTATGTGCACCAGGGTAAGCTTTCTTTATACAAATCGAATGTCATGCTAATATTTGTGCTATCCAGCTCAGGGCACGGATATAGTAACATCCTGGTGGCCTCGGCCGCATGCTTGGAATGTGTCGGGCTTAAACGTCGGTTTTTTGTCAGCTCGTTGCGAAGATTGGTTCCAAACCCGTCTAGGCAACATTCGAGAAGGAGTTTCTCGCGAGCGACTTTCATGCACCAATGACGCCAATGGTCCGATGACTTCCACTCAATGGAAGCGTTCTCTCAAATTTAACCCTGGCACAGTCAAGATGATGCAGAACATTTCTGCAGCGTGTTATGATTTCATGGCGAGGGTGCCTGGTAAGATTTATTGAACTGAACCCCTCCTCATTCACACTAACGAGGTTTATCTAGTTTGGAATGAGACGTAGTCTGTACTGTTGTGTATCAAGTGTTTACATATCTTGGTTATGAAAATCTACTACTCCCTATCCTTGGCATCTACTGTGGAGAATTCGTCTTGTCGTTCTGTTTTGCTTATACTGCCTAGTTGGCGCTTAATCTCAATGATAATAATATGACAGTCCTAGGTTCAGTACTGATCAACTCGTTGCGCCCGCCCGCCCGATTCCTCTGCAACGTGGTTTCCATTCTCGCTGTAGTCGGTTTCCTCCTTCACCTTTCGAGCAAACATCGCGGCGGGATTCTTACCCGCAGAACTAGAAACCAATTACTTGTATATTCAAATTCTCGGATGATGGGTGGGCGATGATCGGGTGATTCATTTAGTCTGCGGACAAAACTTCAAGTTTTGTCAACACATTTTGCCATCAGCACAAACTTTAAGTTTTCAGGGCGTTTCAATTGTCAGACAAAACTTCGTACATAAGCAGGCATATGGTCATGTCCCAAACTTTACATTTTATCCGATGTTTTAGGTCAGAATTGAACTTCAAATGTGAGCACACGCAGAAAATCCGATTAAATTTCTTATTGTTATTGGCATATAGTCAGTGGGAATATGTTTGCCAATGCTTGAAATTTTGCACTTCGTCCAAAACACAGCCAAAATTTAAAGTTATGTCTCCATTTTTATGTCGATTTAAGTTTCAAATATTTTCTTGACATTTGGTACAACATAAAAACATCACCTAAATATCGATAACCCCGATGTGCAAGTAGACTGGTAAATCTGGGTTTGAATTCGGATAGTGCGCGCTTTGGAGTCGTCACATGACCAACAACCCTTTTCGGGGCTTAGATGTTGCTTAGATAAGTCTGTTAAGTTGTTCGATCATACATCGTGTTCTAACGTTTCCCATCGACTCCGGCAGCGATCGACCAGGTCTCTTCCGCTGGCCGCTGCAGGGCAGCGTCACGTTGCACTCGGACAGCCCTATTTATGATTTGAATTCATACTTCAGCTTCTTCTGAGATAGTACTGGTCCTACTAAGCTCTGTTCTCAAGGGAAAGATGTCTCAAGGACTTGGATGGCCCAGGGATGGCGGGGACCTCTCGATGCTCATCGACACTGATATCAACCGGTCCGTAGACTCTGGATTCGTCGACCTCACTGCGGAAGCTCCTGCAGAAACCTCCCGTTCAAGTACCAGAGGCAGCCGAATGTCTACACACGAACGCATCAGCAGTGCCCTGAAAATACTGCGGGATGGTCGGATATCTATTCTGGACTTACTTGTGAAGATAATGGACCCGTCTCAGACGCCATGATGTGCAAGCCCTGCTGTGTAGATGTTATGTGCCTCGTCGATATGAACTCGTTTGATTCTTTTGACGAATGCTCCATCTTGGTGAATGAGCCGTGCAAAACGTGGTAGATGACCACTGAACATCGACAGTTGTTCTGGTGAAACAATCAAATGCTCGTACTTCCCAGCACGAATTGACTGTATATTGATAGTAAATGAGTTCAAATGTCCCCCATACATAGAAACTAGTAACAGTATGTGAGTCAACTTCACCTGCCAAAGTGATGTGTCGTTCGGGGTGTCTTCATTAATTGATATTGTAGATATACCATATTTCATGCATTCATTGACCTGCCACAGGCTCGTTCTCGCACATAATGAGTCAATATCAATTCAAATCTCACCTGTGTGATCTGGAGACGTTTCAAAGGTGAAATTGTCACACTGATAGTGTCCGGACGAAGTAGATTAGGAATGATGAGACACAAGGTCTTTCCACAGCCTGTACCAGCTGTAATTATGCTGTCGCGGCCGTTCAACGTTGCGAGAACAGCTTCTAGCTGAAATTGTCGGGGAACAATGGTTGTAGCTGTGAGGATGTACACAAGCAGGCAAGCGCGCAACACGTCCGTCTTATCTTTGCTACTGAGGGTTTCGATGTAGCTGGTAGGGAGCCGTTCTTGTATCAGCAAGCGAGCAAATGAATCTAGTCCTTCCAGTGATGCTTCCCGCACAGCTTGGATGATTGAGTTCATGTCCATTGTAGAGTAAATAGATACATTAACGACACGACCGTGTTTGCCTCGCGTCAATATTCAAACATTAATTTCAATATCTCAAATATCCTCGACAAAATTTTAGTTTTCGGATTGCTACAGGTCATGTGACGACTCCAAAGCGCGCACTATCCGAATTCAAACCCAGATTTACCAGTCCGTCTATCGACGGCTTGCCTCATTAGACGGGCTGGTCACCAGTCTAGTCACCAAGGCCCAATCGAAGCACAAAGTTGTCCCAGGAGCTCTCTTGATCGGCACTTTTGTATATAAACGTTCCTAAACAAGGTTATCGTGCGCGTGCTGCGTACTGATCAGAATGTTGGTCCTCGCGAATCTCGTCGGTGAAAAGCGTAGTAAGTGGCGCACCGGTTTCAGTTGAAGCCCACTCGGATAGACTATTATAGGATTGACTTGGAGTTTTGTGTGTACGACAGAAGAAAGCGAGAAAGCGATGAGGACAAGGAAGAGATTGGATTGCCTGTGACGGTGAACGGCAGAACAGGTGCCGTGCTAGTCATTATGGAAGGCAATGCATTAGTCATAGTTTGTTCCCGGACCTTGAAGCTTCAGGTTGGAGGCTGACTTGTGCCAGACATTGACCGTGACGTTGCTTCTGCGAATCGCTACTAAATATCGACGGTCTCTTCTCTTCCATCCCAGACAAAACAATGAAGCCTATGCAGAGTTCAGGTATATATAAGCCGAAAGGACTCATCTCATATGATCCCGGGCCTTCACTCCCATCACACAACCCTGCTCTGTAGACCATGTTGACACTCGCCAACGTCACTTGGCTCGACATACAACTATGCCTTGCTTACGCTGGAGTATATTTTCTAATGTGGGTCTTCAACAAGAAGAATCCTGCACCATATCCGCCTGGTCCCCCGGGGTGGCCTCTCATCGGGAACATCTTAGACATGCCTCACATCAAGCCCTGGCTCACCTTCGCTACGTGGGGCAAGAGATATGGTGAGTACCTACCGTTTCACCGATATCACGCATTTCAAGGTCTTGTCTGCAGGTAATATCTTGCACATCCAAGTTATGGGTCAACACATTGTGGTACTGAACTCCGTCAAGGCTGCAATAGACATGCTGAACAAGAAGAGCACACTGTACTCTGACCGTCCTATTCTTCCTGTTGGCGGTGAACTTGTTGGCTGGAAACACAGCCTGGTCCTTCTCCCTGATGGTGACCGCTTTCGCCGGTACCGCAGGAACATTCACCGCGTGATTGGCAGCCGAGCTGCAGTAGGCAAATACAGCCAGATCGAAGAGGTCGAGACTCGCCGATTTCTTAAGCGTGTGCTCACAAAACCAGGCCAACTACAGGCACACATCCGACAGTATGTATTATTTGTCTCTGCATCAACGTGATCTTGATTTTTATAGCACCGCTGGTGCCATCATCCTGCGCATCTCTTATGGTTATGAAGTGGCGAAGAACGACGATCCTTTCGTTGACCTTGCGGATCGCGCTTTAGATTCATTCTCGCGTTCCACTGCTCCTGGTGCTTTTGTGGCTGATTTTATGCCATTCTGTAAGCTATAGTATCCAGATGTTTGCTTCTATTTCCCTCACCTTTTGTAGTGGTCAAAGCCCCCGAATGGTTCCCTGGTGCCGGCTTCAAGCGCCTAGTCCCTGAATGGCGTAAGACCGTCGAAGAGATGGTTTTTACACCGTACAATTTCGTCAAGGATCAGATGGTGATCAACATCTGTGGTTTTGCGATCATGTGTAGAATTCTAATTTTTACAGGCAGCTGGAATTGCCCCGGAGTCTTTTACTTCGAATCTGTTAGAAAAATGTACGTTGTCCGTAGAAGACGAGAATGCTGTGAAGTGGTCTGCCGTGTCTCTATATGGCGGCGGTGCCGACACGGTCAGTCCCTCCCCATCTATTGCTAATCAGAGTATTACCCTGCTTTCCTCAGACTATTTCTGCGATCTACTCGTTCTTCCTGGCCATGACACTATTCCATGATGTACAGAAGAAGGCTCAGGCTGAAATAGATGCTGTCATCGGTCCCGATCGTCTTCCCTCCTTCACCGACAGAGGCTCTCTCCCCTATACTGAGGCACTTGCTAAAGAAGTACTACGATGGAATGTTGTCGCCCCTACCGGTCCGTGTATTTTGTTTATCACATTCTTTCGTTACCGAACGGTATCTCAATAACAGCTTTACCCCACTGTGTCACTGAGGATGACATTCATGACGGGTATTTCATTCCAAAAGGTTCCTTTGTAATACCTAACGTTTGGTTGGTACACCCATTCTCTGCATTTGATATTTTAACAGAATGTAATGTAATGACAGGTTCATGCTCAACGACCCACAAACATATACTAGTCCCTTGCAATTCAACCCTGAACGCTTTTTGTCTAATGATGGAGAGAAGCCTGAGACTGACCCCCGGAAAATCTGCTTTGGTTTTGGGAGACGGTGAGCATAGAGTTGGTTACCTGTGAAATACTAACTTTGTGCTTCGCAGTATCTGTCCAGGTACGCTCAACTCACAGAAAACGCCGATAAATTTTCTGATGTTTCTTTTCTTTGATGTGTAGGTATCCACCTCGCTGAAGCCTCCGTCTGGATCTCCGTTGCGATGTCACTGGCCGTATTCGACATTTCCAAAGTCGTTGAGAACGGTGTTGAGATCACCCCTGAGGTTGATCCCTCATCCGGCACAATCAGGTATGTTACATATCTTATCGTGTCTGGCGTCGGTCTGAATAGACACGATTTCAGTCATCCGAAGCCCTTCAAGTGTTCTATTAAGCCCCACTCTGCGAAAGCCATCGAGCTTATTGAACAGGATGCTAACTACTAAGCGTGCGAAGATGAAAGCATACATGAAGGTGTGCCACATCGCATTATGGTACATGTCTATGTGTATCGCTTTATTTTGTTATGAAGGATGATTTACTATCGCGCACGTCCGATCGGCCACTGAACAGACATGCATTACAAAGTAGCACCCCGCACGGACGGCAACTGTCGGAAAATGTGTAGCCAATAACCAAACTGGACTCGGACTGACTAAAGTTGACCCATCCTGGTGAACTTGGCGATTCGATTTGTCCTGAGAAGGGTCTGGTCTGCTCCGTTGACAACACATAAGCTGCTCCGAAGGTGGGATGTCATACAGGTTATCCTGGCGTATGGCACGGGTCCTGCCAAAGCTCTCGTGCGTTTCACGCGATGAAAGGGGGTGTAGGGAGGATGCTTGAGCCTTGAGCGCTCATATCTCTTGGCGCTGACTACAATACATTAGTGCGCAACGCGCTTCTGGATGATGAACCAGTCTGTGAGACGGAGGATCTCGAGATAGAAAACGGGTGCGTCAATAGTGGAGAAGGCCACAACCACGGAATCCCATCGATGGCTAGCACACAGCGCAGATAGGAGGCTTGGTCCCTGCCTACAAAAGTTTCAGAATGGAAAGAAGAAAAAGAAATACTGACCCATTACAAGGGGTGAGAATGCAGAAAGATCCATTAGCGCACGCAAGCTACATATACTCTAGACCAGTCCGTCTAGAGTCTACACACACGGAGTGGAAGAAGGGCAAAAGTTGAGGCCTGGTCGAACCAGAGTGTCAAACCAAGACCGAACTGTGAGAACACTATTTCGTGGGAATTTGGGACACAAACGCGAAACTTCTATGTATAGCTAGGCGCGCGCGTAGTCTCCAGCCGCCTTGTCTGAGAAGGGAATAATGTGTGACACATTCCCTCCTCAGACAACTTGAAGGCGGCTTCACGAGACCAGCGCACGCAACTTGTTACAGGCCATTAGCAAAACCTCTCCCAGAATGGCGGAAAGCCCAGGGCAGTCCGTCATTAACACGTCCGTTCGAGCGTTCGAAGATCACAAAAGCAATGTTCTCGCAATCGCGGTCTTCCCTGATGGAAGTCGTATGGTGACGGGCTCGAAAGACAAGACCCTTCGTCTGTGGAACTTGAAAAATGGCCTGATGTTGAAAAATATGCAGGGGAATCGTGACTGCGTGTGGGCAGTGGTGATATCACGAGACGGGCAAGTCATCATAAGTGGGGATGACAAGGGAGAGCTCATCGTTTGGAACGGCGTCACTGGTGAATCTCTCACCGCCATTAAAGCCCACTCTTGGTCAATCTTCTCGATGCATTTTTCTCCCAATAGCAAAGTACTGGCAACTGGCTCACGGGACCAAACCACAAAGCTTTGGTGCGCAAAAACGTGGAAGTTGCAAGGAAACCCAATCCCCTGTCGTGCGGCAGTCTATTGCGTTCGGTATTCGCCAGATGGCGAACTTCTTGCCATCGCGACATTTAGTGATATCCAAATATGGAATCCGCGCACGAGGGATTGTATCGCAAACTTTCACGCGGCGATCAGTCCAGCAAACAATATCTCACTCGTGTGGACGCCCAATGGCAGACAGCTTCTCTCGGCGGGTTCTGCTTCTGATCCCACCATACGTTGTTGGGATTCATTGACCTGGAATCAGGTTGATGATCCTTGGAGCGGGCACACCAAATTCATCAACGCCATTACCCTAAATTCTGCTGGTACGCTCGTTGCCTCTGCATCTCATGACACCTATGTGCGTCTCTGGCGCCTCTCGGATCGACGAACCATTTCCGCATTCAAGCACTCCGGTGCAGTGTGCTGTGTCACCTTCTCCGCAGATGGAAAGCATCTCTTGAGTGGGGGTCATAATCAAAAAGTCTTAGAGTGGGCAATACCCGAAGACACTTTGCCGGTGTATGCTCATATGGAACATTCATTGAATATTGTAAGACCCCCTTATTTTTGTCCCTTCGGCAGCTCAATTTGTGCAAGGACACCCCAGGTGGTCAGTGGAACAACAAGGTAAGTTTGCATTGACTTACCGTCCCTTTGTCCTATCCTCTAATTTTCATGTAAAGCCTCAAGCTTTAGAACCCAAGGTATGTCTTTCATCCTTGACTGTGATCACACAACGTG